ATAAATAATTGCCGTTTAATCCCACTCTGAGGAAGTGGACTTGATCCATGAAAGCTCAAATTAAAAAATATAGCAGGTAGTCTTTAAGGTGTGACGATTTTTCTTTATTATTATTATTGTTTGGTTTTTCTTTTCTTTTGTTTCTTGTCTGAAATTCTGTAAGGAAGATATTGATCAAAGATTTGGGGTGGTACATTGGGCAGAGTTAGGTGTTAAAGCTGTGGATCCTGTTTAGATTCTAAAGGTCCTGTGTAGACTCTTAGGGTCTGAGCACTTGGCACCACCACCTTTGTTACTCAGGTCAAATATAAAGTTACAACATGTTTTGCTTTGTGGCTTTTGCAGATTTATTTAGATTGAAAATTTGCTGTCCCCAGTAATTTCTAGCAATGCTGCTGTAAAGAAAAGATGTACAGTACTGTTTGTTACACTATATGAAAACCGGACATGACAGGTTTATTAAATAAAAACCCACACAGTCATGAAACACTGGCAGCAGAGCGGGTTCTGTAAAGAAGGATTTGACCATCAAGGCTGGGATTACAGCAAAATGTCTGGAGAGAGCCTCAGTGGAAAGTTTAGTTCTCATCAAAATGCTTTGGAATTAATTTAGTGTCTTATCCCCCGTCTTCTTCCAAGTTTCAGAAGTTGAGGAAATGCGTGGAGGCCATTAAAGCTGACTTCCTTGGATTTGCCGGGAGGCATCTGACCTACTGAGAACTGCATTTCTTGGAACTGCATAGCTTGCAGACCTTCAGATGAAATAATTTATTTCGTCATTGTTTGGAAAGGTTATACTGCTGTGTGCAGAGAATGAGGGCCTAGCAGTGAACTGGACTAACACCATGAAATCCGAACCAAGGTTGACAGTAAAAACTGCTAAAGTCTCCAGTCTTTAAATATAGTATCTGGTTTGGAGGTTCTTTCTGATGTCTTTATGGATCCCCTTAGCTTCAAATATATACCAGGATGGTGAATATCTTTCATTGACATTATTGTTTAAAGAAAATTGTGAAAAAACAAATAACTGGAATGTTAGTAGAATACATTTCAGCGGACTAGAAGTGTGAATTCCTCATGTACTTCCCTTCTTGTAGCAGTTTCGGTTCTTGAACTGCCAGATCAGTTTTTTACAACTGAAATTAAAACACATTTGGCCATTTATTATTGTTGCTGTATGTCACCTGATTTTCTTGAACTTTCCTAAATGTTGTGTGTGGTCACTTTATAGGTGGTTGCCTAACATCTTCCTCCGTGCAGATGTTCAGCAGGTACTTATTTTTGAACTCTTTAAATTGAAGATCATTCAGGCTTTGAGGAATAACTTTCTAATCATTGGGGAACACCACATCACCTTTGGGTTATATTCTTATCACACATCTGGGAAGGTATGGATATAACTTTTTTCCGCTTTGGGAACCACAGGGCTTCCTCTGCAAAGATGATGAAGCCAAGAAGTTAGAAGTCATTAATGATCTGTGTTCCGTGTAAACAGGAGCTGCTTCCAAAAGACCAAAGGCAAATAGCTGGGTTTGGTTGTTTTGGTTTTTTCCTTGGCTCACAGCTACTGTTGGACAAATCTATTGGGTCTGTGTTCTTTTTTTTTATCAGAGTACCACATTGAAAGATTTGGGGAGTGTAAAAGCTAAATAAGTGTTTTCTAGTCCATGTATTAGTTTGAACGTGTGTTTAATTTGTATTAGAACGCAAGCCAAAGGAACTTTCGTGTGATCATATGTCACATGCTAAGGGTCCCATGATTGGTAGTAGAATAGGGAAGATGTCTCGCCTTCCTTATATAGGAAGGTAGAAAGCTGCCTTCATCTCTGTCTGATCCTTCACTTGTCTTCCTTGGTGTTGCCAACTCTTGACTGGTGGCAGCTCTCTAGGGCTTCTTTCCTGGCCCTACCTGGAGAATCTTGGTGGTCTCCCATCCAAGTACACTACTAACCAGGCTTAACCTTATTTACTTTCTGAAATCAGACAAGGCTAGGTATGTAACAGGGTCTCTGATGATGTTACGAGAGCAATCTTAAGGGAATGGTTGTGTATTAAGGATCAGTTTTTCACTGATGTGAAAGTGGCAGGGTGGGAACAGTTGTCTACAAGAGCCCTGAGACTTCTGCTGGTAGGTTGCATGCCTTGTTGGACCATTGTTCTGATTCCATATTAAAAACTGTATTTATGTCTTTGCTTTTTAAAAGAGAAGCAAGGTCTTCCATATACTTTATTTTACTGGATACCCTGGGTGAATAGTGTTCAAGGTGTCTGGGGTGGATAAGATTTTCTGCTCTAGTAAATATCCTTATGTTTTCATGATTCATCTGTTGTTTGCTATCCTTTAAAAGTGTTGCTAATCTTAATGACATATTGTGACATTTTCACAGGTTGGTTATTTGTTGGGTAAACAAAGGAAGTATGGGCTTTATTCCTCTTCAAAGGAGCACAGACTCTCACTTTTCTTGAATATGGCTTGATCTTATACAAAGATAAATAGCCACCTTTAAGCCGTTCTTTGCAGGTTTCAGTCCTTAAGCTTCATCCGTATAGGAGAAGTCAGGGGTTTTAATTCTTTTAAGCTTCAATAGCTGCCTGCTTTCAGTGAACATTTTGTTTTCCTTGTGTATAATTGTTGTAGGTAGTTTAGTTTTGTGTATTTTATGTTAGATAACAAACCAAAAACTCTCTGTCCAGTGTGATGGCTCTGCTGTTATGGTGATCTTTGGTGAGGAACATTTCTTGAAGAAATTGTGAGACTGGAAGGCACCTGAAAGAATAGGATCTCATCCATTCTGAAAAAGTTGATTGTGAACACAAGAAGCGCTCTCCTGGATCAACACAAAGTCCTTTCTTGTACAACACTGTTCCCATAGTGGTCAAGTCAGCGTATCTGCGGAAGTCCACAAGCAGGTTGCAAATGCAACTGGAGCCTTTTATGTTCTCCATCAACTGATATTTGGAAATGTACTAACTCTAAAGTAATCAACTCCTAATAGTCATTATGGTTACAAACTGCTTCCAACATCAATTACAGTACTTTGTTCTGTTTGCCTTTTTCTAATCCCTTCAGAGCAGTTCAGGAGTCATCAATCACCTTGAAGCTGTCTGATGTCATGGGTCCTTCTATCTGGTCCAGATGGACTAGAACCCTTTGTTGACTCCAGATTCTAGTGCTGTAGGACAGGGAGGAAAATCTGTCCACCATGAGTAATTCTTGTTACAATAAATCTGGCCTCCTTTCGTATGCTAATCCCAGTGTCACTTCTGAAGAGTGTTTGTCGTTATTATTGTCATTAGTATTATAAACTTATAGGGTCTTCCTATTAAAACACATACGCACCAGCCCATAGAGCAGTACCTCTGAAAGTTCCTGGCAGTCCATGCAAAGAATGTTCCACATCTGAAGGGCCACTTAAAACATATTTCCCATGCTCTTTTTGTCAACCTCTAGCATTTTGATATTACACCACTTCCACACCACTGACTCTCCCTCTCTCTCTGTGCGTGTACATTATCGGTGCATTTCAGAGGTGGCTCAGCTCAAGCATTGGAGTTCTGGCTGTTCACTCATCCATATAGCATTTTTGATTGAGCGTTTCAGACCTTTCTGTTGGTCTTCCTTTGCATGTGTGAACCTCCATTGGCGTTTCTTCATTCCACTACTTCTCCAACATTAGTAAGAAATTGGGCGTTTGCAAACCTAAGACTAGATTCTGGACTGGTTGAGCTGTATTTAGAGTGTTTAAGTGGCTTGTGTTTTCCCTGCAGAGAGCTTATACTCAAGTCTCAGTAGTATTATTATAAATGACTGTCTATATGAAACATTAATCACAGTTAAGATGGAGAGCTTGTAGTAATTCAGGGTACATTGATTTTGTTTTGTGACTGGATGCCATGTAAGCATTTGCTTAAGGTTGTGTTTTGTTTTGTTACATTTTCTCTTGAGGTTTAGGTAGAGGATGCTTATAGCCGGAGTGGGTATATGCTTAAGATTTAACGAAAATAATGGTGTATTTCTAAGAGGAACAAGAAAGGAGGTAGTTTGGCTGGGATCCAAAAAGCTGCTTTAGGGAGAGCATGTAAGCTGGTTTCTTTTTCCCTTTTGCCACAACCCAGCAACTGCTTTTGAAGCCCCTTTTGCTTTTATTTGAGATTCTTCCAGCAGCCTGGGGGCTGTTCAAGGAGCACACATTCCAAGCCCCCTTGAGCCTGTGGGAGGCGTGATAGGATCCTTTGCATTTGGGCCCAGATGGTCATGCGGAGATTTCAACATTGGGATCATGGGATTTGCTTTGTTGTTGCCCTCAGCTACTACCCAAGAAGCTTTATATCAGATTACATATATTTTCATTACTAAGCAACTTTGATATTGCTGGCCAGTCGTGCCCTGTACGGTCACATCCTGTTGACACGAAAGCCAGTGAGTAGCTGAGATGTGGCTTATGGCAAGACTATCGTTAGCTCCCAGGCTTGGTATCTAAAACTAACTTTTTTTTTACAAGAGTGGATGAAAAGTCTCCATAAGTATAACTATGTAAATGTAAAGCAACAGTTCAAATGGAAAAGCATAGATAACAACAGGTGGTCTTCCTTTCAATCCTAAAGAGTTTATTTATCATCCAGACAACTTGGAGTGATTATGTGTAAATCCTTATTTTAAAAGGTCCTGCTCTTCTTTAGCCTAAATAGAGTGTGTTAAGTTGATTGCCCTTATATATAAATAAATGTGATCAAGTCGTTATTAAATTTTTGGTGTGTGGACCGGTTCCTTATGTTACGCAGAAAGTATGGAGCACCTGTGGAGTGTTTGCACCCTCTCTACAGAATATTTCATTTTTGTGAGAGTAACACTTCAGGGCTTAAGCACAGGATGTAGAAGTCTTGGGTAAAAACAACAGATACTTGCAGCTTACTTGTAATCTTGGTACTCTAGTTTGGCGAAGCTGACTAAAGCATCTTATGTTTGGTTCCAGGTGGCAATAAAAATAATCGACAAATCTCAGCTAGATTCTGTGAACCTGGAGAAAATTTATCGTGAAGTGCAGATAATGAAAATGCTGGACCACCCACACATTATCAAGCTTTATCAGGTATGTAGCCAGCTTGCCTAAGTATTTAGAGTTTGTGAGAAATAAGCTCTCGGCCCAGTAAAAGCTCGCACTATGCGTTTGATTGGACTTGCATTGCTTTGCATTCTCGCCTGGTAATCCATTCAAATCTTAATACTTTGAGGTGCTTTTGTCTCTTTTTCTTTCTTTTATTGATGTAAACATCTGAAGTGCTTTAAATAACCCAGGGAAGGGGAGCAAGACATTAGTCCAAGACTCTTGTTGAAAATAACAGATCTTCTATAGACTTTAGGTTATGCTATAGAAAATCTGCTCCCAATGTTCTCACAAAAATTCTGGGCCAAACGCCTTCAGGATCCTAGCGAGCACAAGGGAGCATGTTGGTATGCATAGCCCAATTACTCCATCTTGGCTCCTTTTGTAGGCATGAGTAGATAAATAAAGCAGATTGGTTTCCCATAGCATCCCAACGAGGACATTGGGTGGGTAGCTTTTCTAACAAGTCAGGGTTGAAGTAAGTTGTTATAGGACCAGGTAGATCAGTGGGGCATGATATTTTGGGGTCCTATGTCTTGTTATACAGTCTGCAGCTGGAGCAAATAAGCCTGTGACAGCAGGTTCATTAGTACAAATTACAGTTCAACAAATGTCATAGTGTGGTGTGGTGAGCTTTCTAAGGAAGGGATAGAACCTTGCATTATGCTAATTTTTGTGGCTGAGTTGGAGAAATTGTCATTTTAAAAATATCTGCCTACTTTCTCTTGTTTGTTTTTAACCCTGGCTTTTGCTCTCGACCTTGGTAGTTAAAAAGGTGGTGGGGAGAAACCTCTCGCTGTCCAGGTGACTCAGTTGTTTTGATATATTAGTCAGATCCTCCTAGAAGGTTTGGGTTGCTAGTGCCCAATTCTGATCTGGAAGGCCGGCTTGCGTTACAAACATCAATGGAGAGGCACGGAAGTGTCATTGCTTCCCCCAAAGTACCGTGAATTGTTGTTCTGAGCATTCTTTTATAAAGCTCCTTAGTTGCTTCAGAGAAATGCAGCTCACCGACTTCTTGTGTAAATAGTAATGAAAGTTAAGCAGCTTTGAAATGGTTGAGATGAGTTAGGAAGGCACACCCTTCATCTTATCTTCTTCCTTACCCATCCAGGCTGGCGGCACAGAGGGCGGAGTTTCCCTTAGCCTCCCTTGTTCTGGGAGTCCCTGCCAAAGCTTTTCTGGGACCCCATGCCTTCCATTCGAGCCCATGGGTCTGGTGATGTCAGGTCCTGGACTGACAACTCCCGTTAAGTATGGCCAATGGTAGGCGATTCTAGGAGTCACGGTCTAAAGCAACTCTGGGACCGCAGATTCCTGACGTATGCCATAGAGTCAGCTGAACAACAAATTTAGACACTGAATATATGAATAAAAAGGCAGACCAGTTCAGGAATGCCCCCGTGCAGTGCTAAATGAAGTGAATGGAATTCCCTCAAGTGTGTCTGAATGGAATAAGATGGAAGTGGATTGCACCTATTATAAATTGAAAATGCAACCTCCGTTCCGAGCTCTTTTGCTAGTTGTCCTGGTGGCATTAACAGATTGCTGCCATTAAATGTTGAGCCTCAGGCAAAATGGGAACCTTCCCACTACTTAAAGACTTGATTTAATGAGCTCTATCCTATTAGTTTTAATTTTATTATCAGGAATAATTCTGTTGGTTTGGTTTTATTAAATCCTATCTTCATCTTGATGGCATCCTATAAATCAGTGGAATGGTTCTGAAAGTTCAGAGCTAATTTACTTTATTTGTTATTCATTCATTCATTCATTCATTCATTCATTCATTCATTCATTCATTCATTCATTCATTCATTACTTCTCTACTTCTGTACTGCCCCACTAGTGTCATAACTCTGTGGGCGGTTCACAGCATACAATAAGATCATACAATAATTTCTTTATTTAAAATATTTTTACTCATCTTTCTCCTTAAAAAAGACTCAATAAAAAAACACGGTGCAATAAATGCAATAAAAATACAGTCAAGTACAGTAAGCTCTGCTGCTAGCTGAAACAAGGAACCTGCTTTTCAAGAAAAATTAAAGCCCATGTGTGCTTCTCAGGTTAATATGACAAGGGAGAAGACTCAAGGTTCACCACCTTCAGATCATTCTCTCCCTGCAAGGTATGGCTTGCAAGGTGCATAGGCTCTGTGGTACGTTGGGGCCGGCCCGTAGCAGCCATGAACTCCAGAAGTGCTCCGGCCGTCTCCATCTCCACACGTATGTTGAAGTTCCCCCAAGTTAAATTCCGAGGGAACTCGCCACAGCAGCAGAGATGTGTCCTGCTAGTTCTGGTGAGCAGTGTGTTGGGCCACGAGGAAGATGATACATCAACACCAGGCCCACTCTGTCCCGGTAGGGTAGCGTTTTCTTTTTCCAAACTGGAATCCAGGAAGAAGAAATATAAAACAAAAGAAAGATAAAAACCAAAGTATTATGGTGCCTTTAAGGATTTATTTCACTTTTGGGTTTCCATCCATTTATGTCTGAATAAGTGGCTTGCTATGCAGGAATGTGCACACTAAAATAAATCTGGTAGTCCTAATAGGGCTACAGTACTTTGAGTTTTTTAAAATTTGGTTTTGTTTACTTGTGTTATACTTATTGAAACAGGGTAACAGGACTACCTCTTTGAAGAAGGGTTACATTGTCCTTTTCGCAAAATAAAGACAATAACTTGTTTCTTGCTGTGGAGAAAATGGCTGGCCAACCCTATGTTCTTTCCATGAAACAATCGACGTGAAGGCTTCTCTGTTGTAATATAGGACAGTTAAAAAAAAGATGCCATACATTTGGGATCACTCAGAGGTCAGTCAAGGATTTGGAGCCAAACATGTCTACTGATAACTAATTCCATATTTAGCAGGAATATCGCACTTCTTTCCATGATATGTCTAATACAACAATTCTGTATTAAAAAGAGATAAGAGGGAAAAGCGTGTTTTAAAGACTAGGCAAATGTCACTTTTCTCTTTGCCAAGTAGGTGCTACAGTGGTGAACAGTGCAGGAATAACTCTCCATTTAGATCCACCGTTTTCTTCTGTGAATCAGTGCGACTGTCCTGTGGTCACCCCTATGAAAGCCTCCATAGTCTTTTTTTCACAGGGAGAGAAGGCAGGGAGCATTTTAGCCTAGGTGCTGCTGGGGGGGGGATGTCCCAAGTGATAACGCCTAGCAGTGCCAAGGAAGCCTCACCCTGGCCTCTCTTGCTTTGAACCTTCAGCAGAGCCCGGATGGAATGAGTGTTTGGTGGATGGGTATGCTGGTCACAGGTCCTCAGCCAGCCCAAGGATTCCTGTGCTGTAAAAACCTGAAGGAGGGTCTGGTGAGGGCCATGCTGGGGGCATAATAGACTCTTGGCACAGTTCAAGGTATTAGTCCTGCACAATTTTGGAACTCCAGCAGTGAAAATGCCTGGTGAAAGAAGAAGCCAAAAGTTCATCGAGAAGCAGAGGAATGGAGGGGTGAAGATGCAGGCCATCCTGCTACCAGTTGGAAGTTGAATAATAGCTTTGAGAATTCTGCATTCTCTTGCAGATCTTCATGGCTAGAATGCAGAGGTGCTCTTATCTAGATACCCATTGTAAGAGGCAGTTGACCGTGATGTTGAACTGGAACCCTTCAAGCAACCTGGCACGACAAAACATTAATGGCTTGTGATGTTTTGAGAAACCATGTTGGAAAAGAGGATTCCCACGATATTTTTGTTTTCCTCTCTCCCCCCCCCCAATTAAGCTAATCTGTGACTTCTCTGTCAACAGGTGATGGAGACCAAAAGCATGTTGTACCTTGTGACGGAATATGCCAAAAATGGAGAAATATTTGGTAAGCCTCCTTGCTTTGAAAAATAGCTTGCCAGTTTATTTCCGTGATGGCATACTGTGACTTATTTGGGGATTGTTTTCATTTTAAAAATAGAAGCTTTTATATCACTTTTTTTTCCCCTTACTACATACACCCTGTGCTCTCTTTTGGCTTAATTCCATTTTGGAGGCTGACTAAACCTTCCTTTTAAAGAAATAAAATTGTACTGAACTTAATTCACGAGCACTGCTGTGCTTTTATTGATAGCGTTAGTAAACAGTTTTGGTTTTCTTCATGCATTTTGTTTCATTCTGCCTGCCTTACATCATGGAAGCGAAGGTGATGCCTGTGCAGGGCTCATAGGCTGTCTCCCATTCAGGCAGTGATCCAGACCAAGGCCTGCTTAGCAGAAGGGTGGCACCATTCGCCACCAGAGTGTTTGTGCTTTGTGATTCATAATAGCCGGTGTTGCAGGCTAAATTGCCATCTCATAGTGGTGTGATCCTCTTTGGGGGCAAAAGTTCTTAAAATGTTAGCATAATTCAAATAAGAAATCTTGTTTTCTTGTCTTTCTGCTTCTTGATGTATTATCGTTTCTCAGCAGGGCTCTTATCTTTTAGCCTTGCTGCTGAAGAAATGTAAGCTTCCTTTAACTTGGAAGAACACATCCCGCTAATGCACAAAGCAAGCTTGGGAGGTGGGTGTTGTTTGGTGACCCAAAACCCAGTTTCGATGCCTGTGCTTTCCAAGTGGTGCTGGAAGAATTCTTGCCCCAAAGCGGCCGTCAGTCTGCTTTGATGCTCCTGGGCAAGATGGAGGAAGGGTCCGTACCAGTAAAAGGCATGTTCCTGTATTAAATGAATATTATTTTTAAGATGGATTCAACTGAATTCATTTACCCAACATGTGGGATAGCTGAATATGGTCTCCCTTTGGATGTCTTGCAGACGTCACTGTTTTACTGTCAGTTTGTGCCAAAAATGGCAGATGATGGATGATATATTAAAAGAATATATCCTCATATATCATGTCTCATGGGCACGTCTTATATTACATTGCCTCCAAGCCTGTAGTTTGAATGATGAATAACAGGGTGTTTTAAAATGCTACAGATGGACTGTTCTGGGTGTCTTCCATAAATTTTCCATTTTGGAGTTCGCCTGAACCAATGC